ATTAATTATAAATAAAAATGTAATGGTTTAATATGGTGAATAATTAATAACAAAGTTTATTTCTATATCTGATTAAATTGGTTTCTGTTTGATATTCTCTAATTTAAAAAACTAAAGAAATATTCCGCCTATTTTATATTAATTATCATAGTCTTATTAATCAATCACTCAAATTATTCTTAATTAGAAATTTTATATTTTAGATATATATTGAAAGTTTATGATTTTAAATAAGAAAGCTTAGCCCTGCTCTTAATTAATTCCATTTTAAAATTACTTATTGTTGCTTCTCCCTGCTTAAATCTAATCTTCTCCATCTGTTTTTTTCTTTAAAAAGAATTCTAAATAAACCTAAAGTCTTTTTGATGCAGATTTGCGAAAGATCCAAATTCAATTTTCATGAATTTGAAAAAATTCTGAATATAAAATCGCAGAGGAATAATCACTAATTGAAAATGTGGTCTGAGCATTAATTTTAAATCAAAAATACATGAATTTTTTTTGTTTACAAATAATTTATTGAGAAAATCTGTTGAAAATGACAAAAGATGAAAAAAGTCTGCACACATGTATTTCAATGAAAATCAAATAAATTTTTTGAGTAAATCTCAATTTAATTCTTTTAGTGGATATGGTTTGAAATTAAGAAGTCTCTTTTAGTTTTGAATTGTTACGTTTGTTTGTAAATATTAATAATATTTTCAATCGCAAAATTATGAACAGATCGATTATTTTCTATATTGAGGAGGTTTGGATTTAAAATTTGGCATGCCTTTTAGGAACTAAAAATGGATAAAGTTCTTATTAACTGATAAAGGCAATTTGAGACTATTGGAATACTTACTTAGATTTAGAAATACTTTCTACTTCTATTATTTGAAGTATTTAGGTATTATTACCTGTTAAAGATTATTACAATGTATAGATTGAAATTATATTGTTTAAATAAAATCCTTTATTGAGAATAATTATGAGCTTTACTGGTGTTAATCAAACTCATTCTTTGTTTGCAACTAAAAAAAATTAACATATGAATATCTTTTTATCATGATCATTATTTATTAGAATTTTATAAACACTAATAATTTCTTGCATATATTGGCTTGATATACTATCTTCTATCAATTGGATTACCATAGGAAATGTAAAATCAAAAGCAACTATCAATTTTTATTTTTATTATTATTACTATAGAAATATGTGAAATCCTCTTCTCTAAATTAATATTCCTTTTGATGAGTAATTAATTTAGAATATAAATTTTTATCAACATTTTAGATAAATTATTTCTCAATTAATTTGAATTAATACGAATAAAAATAGTATAACCATAATTCAATCTAATCATCTATGCATTTTTTATTCAAGTAATCAGAATTAATAATCAAAAGAAAATAAAAATCAATATATTTATTATCATGCATTTTTATTTAATTTTTTATTACTTAATTTCATTCAAATTATCATTGTTATAATAATCGATAGAATCAACAATTATTAATAACAAGAAATACACTCCCCTACTTAATGTTTTTCTTTCTTCAAATGGTAGGTTCCAAAACTAGAATTATAGCAATTCTAATCATTCATTGATAAAGTATCATATTCTTGACAAGATTTTGATTAATAATTTTAAACGCGTCCTATAACATGATTTAAATAAGGACTAAATTTAGTACTCCTTATGAACATTTAATTTCCTCTTAATATTCTAAACATGCTCTTGGCAGAAATTAATAAGTTTCTTTGTTATAAGTGCATTTATTCAAATTACAAGAAGGATAAATACTATTAGATAGTTGAGAACAAGATGTAGGTAGAATGCATTTTTGCCCATTCTATATACATAATCCTGCAGCTGATTAGTAATTGTTACAATTATCTTTAGTAGTAATGGATTTACAATTTTAGAGATTATCTATAAATTAACAATTGGTGCCATTTGAAGCTGGACAATAAATATTTTAATTGACACAACTAGATTTAGATGATTCTTTAAGGATCTAGCAATCGCTAAAGTCTTGACATAGATCATTAGCCCAAATAAAATTTTCATTACAAGCTAAAGGTAGAATATGTGATCTCTGAACATGGATTTTCTTGGCATTTTTAGCAACCAAAATCCCAACTGCACTACAGAGCAGATTTAGTACAATCATTTGCTTCAATAAGTTGAGAACAATGACATTTCTCATTAAGACTTAGTGTTATGGAAATGACCATTGTGATAAATAATTTCAATAACGCACAAAGCAATAGCTAAATTTTGAATAATTTTAATTATGTTATTTGATAGTTATTTAACTTCTCTGGTGAGAAAATATAAAATAAATAACTTAAACAGATGCATCTTATTGCTAAGATAAATTTTATTTTTATTATTTTTAAGGTTTTATCTAAATTCTTATTTGTTCAAAGAGATTTTACTTATAAATTCCCTTGCTTATTTCTAATTACTTCAACATTAAAACCAATACATCTGGTTCACATAAAATATAATCACTTTGAAAAAAAAATATTATTTGGTATTAAGTAAATATTTCAATTTTTTGGATATTATTAGTTGAAAAAAGGGAATTGCAAACTTTTAAATAAGAAAGATAAAAACCTTAGAATAATTATGAGAATTGCTTTCGTTTATATTAGATTATACATCTATATAACTAATAAAAGATTCTAAATTAAATATCTTGACCAAATTTAGTATTGGTCAATTGGAATTAAAAAGTGGAGAGTCTTTTTTTTTGTTGTTAAAGAGAATTAGCTTCTATTGTAATGATTACTTAATAATTTTGTAGATAAACTTCTTCTCCTTTCAACTTCCTGAAATAATCATGTTCTTCAATTGTTTTCTATTGACCTTTAACCATATTATTTATATAAATAGAAAGATGAATAAATTTTTATAGAGTGTATAATTAAATTAATCATCCATAATTTATATGATAATAGTGGTCTTGATATTTTAAGCTAAAGAAAATTTTTATGCCTAATTCTTCTTTCATAAAATACTAGTAATTTTTCAAAGAAATGATTTATCATCAAAATCCCATGTAATATTTCTTACAAAAATAAAATATGGTGGTAATTGACTTAAATTGTATCTAAATCGATTGGAAAGAAAAATATAAACTTAAACTCGTTAAAAAACAATGAAAAAATGGATTTGGAGAATATCTAAAATCTAGAATAAATGGGCTGATGAATAGTTTATTTTAAAATGATGTTATCAAATCAAAATTACAAAGGAAAAAGGATGCAGAAGGAGAGCATGGTAAATCGATAAATCTGATGTGTAAAAAAAATGATGAGGTAAAAAAATGATGAGGTTAAATAAAATTATACAAAAATTATACAAAAATTAATATTTGCTCAAAATCAATCAAAAATATCAGTTCAAAAATAAATTTAATAGCTAATTTCAATATTTATTTATTGGATTAATGATTGAATAGAAGTCAATTAAAATCATTTGATAAAGTTTCTATTGTATTGATTCCTTTTTAAAGACTTATTTACAAAAAAACAATATAAAGTTTAAAAGAGTTTTTCAATAACTTTATATTGAATAATCAACCAAGTTAATATTAAAATATATATATTCTAAGTTAAAATTATTGATGCTAATTAATAGCAATTTATATCATTGATTAAAATATGCCTAAATTCTACAGTATTAAATATTAATAATACTTAAATGATGTCATGAGTTTTATATCTTTAAATCAAAGAAAAAGTAAAACAATCTAGTTCAGTATTTAAATAATGATTTTATCATTTTGTACAATTCTTTTAATTTGCTTTAAGGACATATTCTCGATGGAAATCTACTGATGCATTTCTAACTTAAAAAAAATAATTTTATTTTTCCCAAGAACTGAATACATAAATTATATTTTTATTTAAAATTAATTTGTCCAAAAACTTTCGGCTTAATTAGAAAGTTCTGATACTGGCAACATTTTTTCTTCTGATTATGAGACTCTAATGTAACTGTCGATGCATTCCATCTAGAATTATTGAGAGTTTGATGAACTTGTTATTCATTTGATCAATCTTTGAGAGACCTACAATAGTCTAGTTGCTTTCATAAAATAGCAATTTATGAGTTATTGTATTTAGAAATTATTTATCAGGAAATGCCTGGGTATTTAAGTTAAGCTGTGAGAATAATAATAATATTTGGACAAGCCTGTTATAAATAAACCTTTTTCAATCATCTCAATATGATTCAATTTTTGGAAGAATGAAAAACAAATTAACCATTAATTTTGAAATATTGAACGAGATTTGATAAGCATATTAATAAAAAAGAATACATAACAATTAAGAACATTATATAAATATAAATTAAATAAGTTTAAACTATTATTCATTAAAATTAAAAAAAATTTATTCTAGAAAATTAGTTTAATCTTTAATTCCTACCATATATTTTAAAGATAACTCCATATCTCTCTACCCAGGGTGTTGCATAATCCAATTAATCTCTAATGAAAATTCAACATAATTAAAGCCTGGATTTAAAAATATTTATATTTAATTTATTATTCCATTCTCAGAGTTATAATCTTTCATCCAAACCTTTAATTCAATTAATTCGCCATCTTAAGATTACCTTAATAAACTTCTATTAATCTAACTTTTTAATAGTTTCAGTTTTAGTATTACTAGTAATGCTAAATAAAGTATAATTTTTTTTTATTTACATAATGTT